TCTAAAGTTTAGGATATGGGATCTCAGTGTTTGCAGGTCATATAATAATTTAAAGCTCAGTAGTGAAATATGATTTCATGTATTAGATTTTAGGTTACATTTCGATCCTAAAGTGTAATTTGAACCTGTAACCATTAGAAGTTAATTGTCAAACTAACCATTGCTTTATTATTGAATTTAGTCTCTTCTTTTCACTTACAGTTCGCACCTAAATTTTATGAAACAGATATTTCGTAAAATACAAATAATAGTTACTAAATTTCTATGTGAGAATTGAAAACCGTGTTTTACTGTTAGACTTAAAGCAGTATATTAATATTGGATGAATATCAGGTGTGTTTTTCTAGTATACTATTTATGTTTAGACTTGTAGACTCTCGGAGTTCCTTCCAGTACCATATTTATGAGGGTGTTCAGTATATCTACTTTTGAAATCTAATCATATTGCTTAGATACTTTTATTATGTGTGAAGTTTCTTGTACTGTCGTCCTTATCAAATAAAAACATAGCTTGGTTGAAGTTCAAATCTGCTTCGATTTACTCTTTTATGCTGATTGCTTATGTGATTCCGATTTTTTAAAAACTTAATATGCTGTTTTACATGACTGAATACAGTAATGATTACTTTTGTGAATATATTTCTACTAGGTTCGTGCTGAAGGTCGGTTCGATCCAATACTTCGACAACCGATTAAAGGTCGTAAAGTTGGAGGTGGTATTCGTCTTGGTGAAATGGAACGTGATTGTTTGTTATCACATGGTCTAGTTTTCAGTTTACAAGATCGTTTGGTTGATTCCAACTGTGATAAAGTTAAGGTAGATATTTTTCTAAACTAAATTAGTTATATCACAGTAGTTATCAGATTTCTCTCGTTTTTTTTCTGTGTTTGAATTTTTTATTCTTTTTGTGGGATTTCTGTCTAGCTTGAATATATTACTGTGCTTAGTTCATCCGTGTTGTACTTTAACAGTTTAATAAAGGGTAGGATTCAATTCTACCTCCCGTTGATAGTTATTTTAAACGAAACCCTTAACTATCGAACATATAGTTGTGGTGTTTCTAGGGTCAAAACAAATAAACAGTGTTCTTAGAACTTTAATCTGTTTCTAAAATATACATTGATAAAATTAGTCCAAGAACATAAACTAATGCAGACTATTAAAAAAAGCAAGTGGTAAAAGTTGTACATACCAAGCAGTAATTAAACGTCACCACAATCAAATTAATGGTAACAAAATCATGTTTGTGAAAAATTCGCAGTTGTGTAATCATTAGGTTAAAAAACGCAGCCAATCAGAATAAAGCGTTTCAACTAAAATATTCGTTAATCTGGTCTTATCGATTGTGATTAATAAGTGGTTTTAAATAAATTTCTGCTACTACTCATGATAGGAAATATCCTTCCATGGTATGAGCAGCCAAGAAGTGACAGTCACTGTCATATCTCTATCAGCATTAAAGATCCTCTTGTTCACATTCATATTCGTTCCTCACTTCTTGGTATTCCTTCTGTCCCTACCACCGACCCTTCTATGACTTTATCCCTATACACCACCAGTACTGGCCATTCCAGTTCACGAGATGTTATTCCTTTTTTCTTAAAATTAGGCTCTGAGCTTCACTTTGTGTCTTTAAATTTCGAACCTTATGTCAAATAGGCTGACAGACTTTCTTGATTAAGACTCTAGAATCCTGCACCGTCGATATTTGTTGAGTCTCGGAAACACAAATACAAGATTTATGCATGGTCACTCACATTATTTCACTTAGTCAACACAGAGGACTAGCGTGATTTACAATTCTTGTATCTGGGGACTTAACTGCTACCAAGTTTAAACTAGAACTGGCTTTCCTAGCTTGGATTCTAACAGACATTTATTTGTGTGCTCTCTGACCAAAGGGGAAGCAAAAACACAGAAGGATAGGGACATGCCTTTGTCCGTCCGTCGTATTTACTTCGCTCTCACTGACTGTAGTTCAATTTGAAGGATGAACTTTACAGAAATATTTCTGTCCTCCTAATAAAAGCCGAATTCTCGGACGTAGTAATCGTAGCGGGATATTTTAACACTCCAATAGATAGCTTGAACCTCTTTTAATGACTACAGAATATTCGGTTTAACCAGCATAGTTTCTAAACTATTAATCATCCGTCACTTAACTAGGGCTATTGAAGAGCGAACTCGTAAACGTTGGGTTGGTTTCAGATGTGGATGTGGATGTTCAGACCGATTATTCGTACTTCCACAAAGCTTGGATCACAGACCCACCTACCGGCTCCCAGTCAAAGTTATATTTTCCAATTTTAACTCAGTATTTGATTCTATAGATTAACAAGTTTTGTTTAGAAGTTCTTTTCGTTCTGTATGTTAAATGTGGCTTTTAAAAGTAGAGGATTCAACCATAGGTGTCTTCGAAACATCACACGCATATTTCTGGACCATTGAGTTAGTGATTCTGAGGTTAGTCTCAGAGTACCATACAATAATGGCAAGTCGATTGATTTGGAAGCCAGTCTTTGTCAATAACTATGGTTTGAACGTGTATCATGTATGTCCATCAACTGACTACCTCGACTAGCGATGATAACTGATGTAGGAGTAGGCCAGAAGGAAGCTATAAGTGGCCAAACGAAGACCTGTCACCAATTTATAACGACACCGACTATTGAACTGAGCCACGTGGGTGGATGTAGACCATATGACTGTGGTCTGTGTGATTGTCGTAAGTGATGATTAAAGACTGAATGACATGACTCAAAATTGCTCACAATGGCGCAGGTGCGTGTACCCTATGTCTTTATTCTTGATGTCCTAAGGTCAAATTTTTCTAATGAATAATACTTATCATTTTCTTCATCGTAGAAAATATGTTATACTTATATCAATCATGTATATCAACAGAATGTTAGTGATAAATTTGACAACAATTTCTGTATATAACCACATCAATTGTACTTTGATAAATCTCACCATTCCTCATACTAGTTTGAATTCTTTTCTAATTCTAAACATCCTGGGGTTCCTTCAATCGTATTAACATGACAACACCACGTGTTAATCAGGAAAGTGTCAACTAGACACTTGTAAATCTAATTAGTCAATATTAGTTTTCACTAACATGTAGCACATATTCATGAAATTATGTCACAACGTCTGTTTACTACCTTGTTTGTTAATTTGTAGACTGAAATGCTTTTTGTATGACTTTCTCTTACAAAGATGCTTGCCTGTTCCAAATGCGGTGGCTTAACGCATTCTGATTTGGCACGAAATATCACTAACACCAGTGTAAATCAAATGACCTCAAACGATTCGTCTTCATTTGTTCCAGGTACAAACCGATGGTGCTGTCGTTTATGTGATTCTGATAGTAGTAGCTGTGTGTCTAGAGACAGAAATAACTCTCTTAAATATGTTCAAGTTTCAGCTGCATTTAGATATCTAACGTACGAATTAGCTTGTTTGAATGTAAAAACTCGATTATCATTGACTGACTTGGAGTAATTTGTGAATAATAATAATTTTTTTATTGATATCCAATTGCTTCTCTATTTTAGAGGTTTCTTACTTCGTAAACTTAACAAATTGTGTGGTTAGATATATGTGTATGCAATATCAAACCATAACTTTTGTAAAATTATTGGGCTTTATAAGATTTGGATTGTATTGAGTACAACCTAATTAAATACAATTTTTTTGCTTAAACATAATTTACCGCTTCTAATGAATACGACTACTAGATAGGTAAGCGAAAAAGCATAAAATAATTTCTATATTTTGTTGATAGTCCTTAGTTATTTGTGGTAGCAGCGAACACATCTTTCATAAAATGAGCCGCCTGTAAGTAATTCTATTTAATATGCTATACAGTTGACTTCGTTAGCGTTTTCACTAATGTCTACATGCTGTAGCAGTGGATGTGTTCCATAGTTATGTGAATCCGCGATTGGTTGTGATGAATGGTGTGGTTGAGTGATAACTACTTTCAAAAACCTACTTATTACTGTTTATTCTACAGTGACTGGATATTAGAAAAGGGAAAACATCTGATCCATAAGCTGAGTGTTTTTGAATACTGAAATTACACACTACTTTACAAAATGTGAAGCATGGAGAAATACATGTTTTAAGTTTTTGGTATCATTACCAAGGTTTGACTTGATAATTGCAAATAAACTGAGCATTGTTATAAATAAATTAATATATTTGTAATATCCCGATGAATAGAAAAATTAGATTTTCTGACTTTTCGTGACTCAGTATAAGACAATTCTTTTCTACTCATTGGGATATTACAAATATATTTATTTATGTTTAAAATTCATTTGGATTGTAAATCATTATTAGTTGTTTACCAGCCAGAATAATTAAGGCTTAACTATTGGGCTCACCTATTTCCGACCATATCACCGAAAATGTCACTAATCTTTAAAAATAACTTTTTAAAAACATGACTAGTTGGTATGATGGTCCTACAGAATGCACACACTATTTTCTAAATTGTTTGGGGAGACGTGTTTCTTAATATAAAGACACTAATGTCACTACAAATTCTCTTTTGCATCGGTTTGGAATTTTTTCAACCAACGTATGCATAAAATTATCGACACTTCCTCATTTTTTTTCAGTGAATAATCAGTTAGGTAAGAAAATGTTCAAGTATTCGTCGTTATTTTGTCTTGCTATTTTTATAAATTTGTGTAGACGCTCATTTTAATGCACAAAGGTCTGGATATGTATTTCCTCGTTTAAAGAGTTTCTTGAGTGAATTACTGTCACTTCTTTACTTTAGTTTCTGGTTTTCAGCGTAAGTTTGTGCTGTGAAACTTAATGTGGTTATAACACCAACACCGATATTAAAACATACATTATTTATGTTTGTTGATCAGAAATACAATAATATCTTAAAGTCGTTAAGGATTTTGTTTGTTTATGCAACAGTTTAGTTACCGAGAAATTATTATCAGTATTCTAGTTTATTTCAAACTGGAGTTTGTTACTCTACAAATAACTATTGATAAGTATTTTAAGGGTTAATGTTGGCAAAAATACCTCATGTATGTAGTTTTGTGCAATTCTAACGGGCAATAATTATCCCATGATGTTTCCTTACTGACATTTTCGTAGGAAAAGTTGTGGGTTAGTTTCTTGTATTTTACTGATCAGTTGCGAGTATCGAATTAGTTCTGCAGTTATCTCAGTTTGTGATAAACCTGTATAAATATAGAATTTAGAAAGATGAGACAAGCACATCAATGTTATAATTATTGTTACCAATTAACAAGTTACAGTAAAGTGAACATTGCTTTCTTCTGTTAACTCTGCAATAGTTCCGCGATTTTGTTGTGCGGGTAATTAGCCGATTATTAATTACCAGTATCATGTTATTTAACCATTAGCAGTGGTTCGACGTAACCTATAACCCATTAGAATAAAGAGTTTAATAGAACCTGACAGCAAGGACTCAATGAACATTAAGGAGCAGGTAGTGCGATATCGAGACTGAATGACCAAATGTTGGAAGCATTTCAGCCCTACAGCTGACCTAGTATTGTCTGGTTGTAATTTGAGTCAATTCAATCAAGAACATCACATCCCTAACTCCCACGAAACATACCCGTGTTTTCCCTCTGAATCCTTCCACTTATCGAACATAATACTCGTTACTTTGATGGCTTTTTCCAAGTCTAATTATAGATTTACTGTTATTATTATTTATTATTTTAACACATAGATATTGGTACAAGAAGGCAACAAATACATATGCGCCACACAAATCTCATTCGACATGTGTGGGGGCTGTGATACTGCCCGAGTGCCCAAGTCGAAGCAGGTGGTTTTCTTAGAGGGTCACACCCGAAGCCTTCGACCTAAAGGTCTGATCCACTAGGCAGTGAAGCATCGTAAGAAGATGCAGTCCCATGGTAGCCGGTGACCAACAACTGGTTCGTATGCCATTTGTTCCTTCAAGATACTGGAGCCCATATGCACCATTGATTTGGAATCTGCTTAAGGCGCCGGATATTCGCTTTTCGTTCTCTCATTATCGTAAACAACACCCCGGTCACGAGAAGACAGTGAGTAGGACTTCTCTGTCAGAGGCTATACACGCGTGGCTATGTGAGAGCATTTCGATAGGGAGAGCGGACTCCCCACTCTCGGCCGTACCAGGGCATTATAATGATCACTTGTTATAGGTGATTAAGTATAGTTAAATTTCTATTTATTCTTTTAAACAATAGAACTCAAATGGGTAATATGATCACTGGTTTAATTTAATATTAAACAACTAACTTACCTGGTTGTACTCCGAAACAGTGTTTTTCGATTGAATTTTTATTTGAATTAGGATGTCTGTCAACTATTGAACTTCTATGGGTATTTAAAAATTAAATAATTCTTCAGGTTTGTGTTTAAGATCGATCAAGTGTATGAATTTGACTAACCCTTTAATTATCCTTGGTTGTTTTCTGTATTTAGTTTGGCTTTGATCACCACTTGATATCATTAAAGCATTCTCGTCGTCCTTTGGCCCTGTAGTATCATCTGTATTTGTGGGGCTATGATTGTTTACTTCGGTTCTTTTTTTCATAGGCTATTCGAAAAAGGTTATCAGGACATATATTATATCTTGTAACCGCTGACGAGTATCACATACTCGATTAATAACCAGGATACTGATTTTAATTTGGTCTGCTATTTACTCAATAGCTTGGTGTCTCTGACTTAGCCAACCACCCGTTCTACTATCATTATCTACCCTTACCCGACAGCTAGCTTTCTACTGACCCACTTTTCACTATCTCCCTTATATGCTCAGTCTTTGAGTCTAGAAGACAACAGCCAGCCTCTAATTTACATATATTACAAACAGACGTTTATATAGAAACATACTGGACCGCGCCTCAGCATAAAACAAAAGATAGCAATTTTACATCTACGAGCCAAAAGTTGCTTTGAGCACGTAAGGTTGTAAGTAATAGGCTGCCAAAAAATTAAGAATATTAAATCCTACTTCATTAGTTTATGAGTCAGCGAAAGCTTGTGATAAACGGAATATATATATATATATATATATATATATATATATATATATATATATATATATTAATATAGTTTTTTTAATGAATATACAATCATAAGCTATATGATACCTTAAAGCAGCATTCGACTCCGTCGATCGTGAGGTTCTGTAGCAGTGTCTGTCACTGAAAGTAGTACTTTAACCTTGTAAAGGCTCTCTACTCGAACACAACTGGTAGAGTGAAAACTTATGGCGAACTGTCATCAGATTTGGTCTCCTCAAGTGGTGTTCATCAGGGCTGCCCACTCTCTCCATTCATGTTTAACTTTGTCGTTGATTTGCTTTTAGAAATAACACTACTCGTCTAAATTTCCAGGAGTTGAAATTTTACCGAGAGATTTACTTGTTGACTTAGATTATGCCAACGATATAGTTCTATTTAGTGAAGGCGCTGACAAAATCCGGTCTTCTAACCACCATAAGCAGCAATGCAAGCATGTTCGGTATGCGATTCTCCCCTTCGTAATGCAAAATGTTGCTTCAGGATTGGGTTGCATCGACACCTAAACTAATGATAGTGAGTGATGTAGTTGAGTGTGTCGACCGCTTCACTTATCTTGGAAGTCTCATCAGCCCTTGTGGTCTGCTGTGTGACGAAATCTCAGCACGGATACAGAAGGCTCGACTAGCTTTTACCAACTTGCGTCATTTATGGCGTAGGCGAGATACCCGTCTATCAATCAAAGGACAGGTTTGATGTGCAGCATTTCGTCCCGTTCTACTTTATGGCTGTGAAACGGCCTGTAAGAGTAGAGGATATTCGTAGATTACTAGTATTCGATCATGGGTGTCTTCAAAGCATTGCTCATATATCCTGGGACCACCGAGTAAGTAATGAAGTTGTTAGGAAACGGGTACGAGGTAAAGATGTGTTTCGTATGCTTAACCACCGACGAGCGATGTTTTATTGTGTAGGAGTAGGTTAGAAGAAAGCTAAGGGCAACCAGATCAAAACATGGCACGAATCCATGAAGTCACTGACAAGTGGACTGAGTTTTGTCAGTAGGTGTAGACTTCGCTACTATTTATCTATCCAGCCAATCGCTACGTAAGTTTGTTATAAGCTCCCACTCAAAAAATTGGTAATTAACCAGGGGTACACAATTAAATAAGTTTCCTTAATATGTCTTACGATTATCCTCACAGTTTATTGATCAACGGGTTTGAATTGATCCTCAAGGTCAAGAAATTGCTGTATTGTCAGGTGCTATTAAGTAGATCTGTCTACAGTAAACTTATCACAAGAACATTTGCAGTTAAATTTGAAACACATATAGTTTTTTTCCGATACACTGATTACTAACTTCACTTACGCGGCAACTCATTATGGAAGCTAGTGAATTAATTATTATACTGGTCAAACTGATCTCTTTGAAAACATCATAAGGATAAATTACCGAACATCTAATAATTTTGTAAATTCTCTGCATCCACTAATTGCTGCTGATTTATTGACACAATTTGTCATTTTCACTACAATCTGTATATGAAGCTATGTTAACCCTAAGGACACATTCTTCTCAATGTCGAATGAGTGTTCACCTAGTTTTGCACCGAATGCGCATTTGACAATTCAGTCTAGCTGAAGCATTATTTATCTCTGTGTTGTAGTTTCATTCCTCTCATAACACGGGTGCAGGTGTAGTTTCTCACCAGAACATGACTGAACGCTGTACTTGTAAACAAGAAGGAGTAGCAGACTTGCGCCAACAATGAATGCTAACAGTACTATATATTTATGTGTGAGATTGGGAGCGAATATTTTTCACCTATTTAACCAATTACACGAACCTGTAGCTGATAATCGTTAAGTTACTTAATTTTCACTAAAAATGCGGGAACTTTATATTCAACTTGTCATATTAGACAAATGAAGAATAATTAATTGATATACCTTCGAAAAAATTCCTTCTTTCAGGAAGTGTTTAAAGGGATATTTGATCCAGACGTCCATTTTATTGGGAATTTTCGATTCACTGCGGAAAAAAACAATACAAATAAAACTATGAATGTATTCAACGGGTAATTAATAGTGAGATTAAGCTCAGGGTTAGGGGATGGTAGTAAATAAATTGATGAGGTTGTGAATATCAGCTGACTGATATAGTTGATGCACGTGTTACAAATACCTGAACACCGATTACCACGTACTGCTGACTAGAATTGGAGGCGATTCGAAGAAAAGTGGGGGTGACTAAACCAAAACGTGGCATCAGTTTTGAAGTCACTAACTTTTAATCTGAGCTATATTATTAGATGCACATCAAGTAGTATGTGCAGACTACTTGGTTGGAATCGGCGAGACTATCGGAAGCAATCGTTGGAGACTTTGTGTGACATTGCTCAGAGTCGACCAAAATGGCGGTTGGTGTATACACTCTCTGTCTTGCCTCAATCTGTTTGCATAAAATAATAAATTTACTTCGAGAGTACCTAGTTTACAGTTACTTTAGTTACGGAGGCAGATTGAAATACCTCTTTAAGTTCGTCATAGCAACGTCAAAAGAAGTATATTATAACAAATTAAGTCCAGCATATAATGTCCATTTTGATGATACAATATAAACACTGTGATTTCTACACGCTTGACATTAGCACCTGTGAGACAGTTTGAAACGATTATTTCAAGTTGAAATATAAGTATAAACACAATGACGATAAAGACTAAAAAACTAAATGTAGCAGTAAAAATGTGCATACAATTTAAATATTGACAGATAAGTGATGGAAAGAGAAAAATAGAGATTACTCTAGATATGGTCGTAGTAGGACTAGGTTTATCAAAAACGTTTTTACGGTTTATTTGCATTTAGCTTCTTTTCGGAATGAAGTTTCGCAATCCGTGAATACGTTCTTGAAGCTTGAGTATCTTGGTAAGCACATCTGTGGAAATGGTTGCCAGTACGACAGCTAAGTAAACATTTAATATGTGACTGACATGCAGCATGAAGAAGAGTGATACTTCTGTGTTTTCTTCATAATGAGCAATAATATTAGCATTCGCAAGAAATACTTTGCCGCAACAATTTTTGATTGTTTATTAGATCATATTTCATGATAATATTGTTTCTTCCTCTGAGAATAATGGAAACAGTTTGCATAAAAACATTCAGAAATATGTTCAGCCTAGCTAACTCCAATGTTCCTTATATACTAATTTTCACATTAAACACGGATTTCACTTAGGTCGAACATTTGTGCGGTTGTAACCTGTTATATTTAATTGTAAAATAGTTGAAGTACTGGTTTCTAACTACACAATCTTTGAAGCCGAACATATAACTGATGAGATTTACAGTCAACATTGAACACGAAGTAAGTTCAGAAATGATGACCGCGGAAACAATTGACTGAAATTGCGTGGCTCCTCCATGCGGATGTGATCACCATGGTACGCAACCCTTTTCATACCAAATCTATTCTAACCCGAGCATATCATGGAAAACCTACCGTTTTCTGTCTTTTACATAACTCACAAACACCATGTTTACTTCTATTTTGTTCCAGAACACCCAACACTTGAAATGATATAGCTTCTTTCCGCTACTACTCATACATGTCATCTACAGGCATAATATATTGCAGGACTTGAACGTATTGATATTCAATTATTTGACAACTTACTTGTCGATAGTCTCACTTGCTTAAGCTGTGCAAATGAGCCAAAACTTGCAATGACGTTAACTTATTACAATCATCACGTGGGTGAATCGCTAATCAGTGACTAGATGGTGAAGAAAAACAGAAGTTGATGTGAGATCATCCTAACTGTAGCTCAATTTGGATTCACTAAGAACTTCTTCACATAAACCAAGTTTCCTACCAAAAACAAAATGTGATGACAAATAATATTTGATATGGCATCACAGGAGCTTGATTCTTCTAAGATATTTTTCTCACATGTACCAAGAATCTCATTAGAGAATAATAGACCATTGGAAAAACTACCACATGTTGAAATTGTACCAGATTTCTGATCATGATTGGATTCTGTTGTGTTCGCTACTTGATTTTCGCAGAATAAGTTTTGTAACTACGGCACATGAACTTGTAGAACAACACACTTGCAAAGTCAGAAGACATAAGAAAGCTTGGGAAGTGTTTGTTGAGTGGAAATCAAAATGTATAGAAAATCATGAGTATTAATAGATAGTAGCATTTGTTATGACATCATTATAACTCAGCCAATCCGGAAAGGGCAGATTATGCTACTGTCCAGTTGTAGCATGACACGTTGATATGCCAGAAAGCTCCATCACTTTCTGATTGGATAAAAACTCATTTAAGGACTCTGTATTCTCCGTCACAACATATTACCGGAATAGAATTTTCTTCCTTGGCCCACTTGTAACCAGTCAATTGGTTTGATGTATCTGAAATTAAATCCAGTGGAAAATTTATCTGGTTATCTTGAATCCGCATCATTCTTTAATCTTTATGGGTTTGTTCCGTATGTCTGATATATGTCTCAAAAGCTGCTCAGACCTTAAACAAAATCTTTTATGATTTTTCGGAGTTCCCATGGATTCTTTCTGAGGTAGGACTTGACAAACACTTTATCGCCAACGTTTCAACTTCGGATATTAAGGTTTGTCCTGTTCCCATTCAACTTTTTGGGTAGCAGCATGACGTTGAAAATAGTTCGAATACATCTCCCAAACATGACTTCTGCGGTTAAAAAGCCATTACTTGTCTAGATGTCCCCTCGTCTCCCTCTTTCAATAATGCTTGTTTTAGATTGTCGACAAAACGTTTTGCTTGTATATTCGATTGGGGATGATAGGGCGGATAATATATATGCGTTATTCTATCTATACTTTAAAAGTAATTGAATGAGTCTATAGTGAATTATGAGCCAATATCAGTTACTAAGGTCCCCGGGACCCCGAACAACTTCTGGACAGCTTGTGAACTGTTTTTTAGTCGGTACAATTGGGTATACTATGTACTTCTGGTCACTTGGTAAATGCATCCACCATAACTAGAAAACGTTTATTTTGGGTTGGACAGGCGAAATATTTATGAAGTCTAGAATGCGTGGGCCAATGCTTCGGTTCGCATTTCGAAGTGTTTTGAGCAGCTTGAAGATATGATGTACAGCTTTTTAATATACGTTCTTTCAGCTTTCTCAACAAGTATCGCGTGAAATATAAAATTGTTTTGGAATGAGTTCAATTTCACAGTTTTGAACTCAAAGTTTAATTTAAAGAATCATCTGTTTCATTTCCCTCCGTTATTATCACAATTTTATGTGCGTTTGACAAGATATCATCTTCTGTGAGCTAATCAATTCACTAATTTTACATTCTGCTTCGGATAGAACTAGATTTGAAATTACTACAGCGAATGTTACCGAAATGGCCATTACTGGACCACCGGGCAATACATGTAACTTATATCCTTCTTCTTGTAAATTTGCTCAGTCGGCGCACACCATGTTGTCATCGTCAGCTTCTTTGGCCAACTATAGAAAATTATGACGGACTCAAAATAGTAACATTTTCCCACAAAACGTTTACAAATTGTAATTTCGTAGAAATTGATTTCTTGTGGCTAATTAACAGGATATGATGTTTGTGCTTTTGACGCTCTTTGAAACAAAGTGTCAACAGCAACCGGACATTCCTTTCGTCGCCCATAGCGTCTAATTCTACTCGCACAATATTCCCTGTTCTGCCATGCCTTGTTTAAAATTACGACTACAATATGAGATAGGAATGTGTACATTCATGTTCCGGAATATTTGGTTAGCTTGAGAAACACAAAACAACAGTTGCTGTTGAATATCTAACATTTCCTGCTGTAATAATAACTTCAGTTTTTCAGAAGGGAATTTCATGGTGGTCTAGCTTTAATTGAATTATGATTTCAACTATTGAAGCTCCATATTTCTGACGCGACTATTATTTTAAGTTTATTTTATCTCTAGAACGTGTCCGACAATTATCATGCTTGCTTTACTTCGAAACTCACGTCTCAAATTGATCTAGCTTTCTACTGTCACATTAAAATAAACAGGTTACTTACTTATTTTGGGTAGGCGTGATATTTTGGTTACCCAGAGATGACCTTTGAATGGATTATTTGGCGGACTGAATATTAACATCCCTACATGAAATAAAATACAGTGTAGTTAATTATTCTCATCGCCATACTGGATCTAGTGAAAGAACAGTGGCATCGAAATACGTTTACTCAACAAATACAGCGAATTGGTATTTCAAGATCAGGTTTAATTTAACTTCTCTCAGGTAATAGTGGACCCACAGGGTTCAGTGCCAGGACATATTTTCTTGATTTATATAAACGATAATTCACAACATGTATCGTCTGACATTACGTTTTGCTGGTGATGTGAAACTTTGGAGAGAGATACTCAACCAAGACGATATACTGACCTTCAGGAGGATCTGACTCGAATTCAACTCGGACAGATGACAACGGACTTCAAAATGTAAAGTTGTCCACCTGAGACATGTTGCCGACTACAACTATAAGTAAGGCATCTATTCTCTAGAAGCGACCAAGCCAAGCGTTTCCAACATCAGAATATTTACATATTAGTGTGCAGACATGTCAGAGGTGACATTCAAACGGCTTACAGTATCCTCAACAATTCTGGACAATTCCTTAAACACCTACCTAAGTTTAGCTCCAACACAAACCTAAGAGGTAACTCCCAGAAACTGGAGACTAAGCACAACGGAACAGATTGTAGACGCACCCTCTACTTCAGAGCCGTCAAATGCTGAAATTCGTTGCCGCTTGAGCTAGTTCAAGCGACTTCCCAGAAGTCTTTTAATGGGAAACTTGGCCTACTTTTGAGGACTAAAGATAATACCTTACTGTGATTTTTTAGTTTCATTTTCCTCGTTAATATACCCAGGTTCTTGCCTGAATGTACTAGTGATAAATCGCTATTGGACACAGAATCCCGTTCAGCGAAGGCTTCTTTTATTCCGTCCACAACCATTTGAAACATTTGAGTTCGTTCACTGATGCAGCAATCCTGACATGATGTCAATAATAACTGTCAAAAGACCAATAATAAGAATAAATGTCTACATTGTTTCACCTTATATTCTCGCTGACTGCATTCCTGCCACGAGTTGCAAGCACATCTGAAGTCACAACATGATGATACTGGTGCCGGAAAACGAAGTGTTGTCACGAACTAAAATGATCTTTCCGCAGAGTTGATTTACTGGTGCTTTGTATCCTCGTGAGCTATCAGTTCTACTCTCAGACTGTCAATAAATGCTACTCTGCATGTATGGATTATGTCTCACTGTTTTATGATAATTAAGTCTTTTTTAAAGTCACGAAGAGCATTTGCTTTCGAATTAGGATCAATTTTTCGTGCATGTTTGTACCCCTAGTTCTACCGATGGGAGAAACCAAACATATAGTAAATAGGTATTCATTTGGGTCGGTTGAAGTGCTAGGATATCTTCCTAAACACATAAAGCTTATCAACATTCAACATAAAATAATAGGAA